TCTTTTTTCTTCAAAATTTCCTTCTTTACCTTTTTCAAGGATGTGTTCTTTTTCTCTGTGCTTACTTTTTTCAAGGTCTCTTTGCTTCCAGCTTTCTGGCCATCATCCTTTTTCAAGGCATTTCCCTGGGGCACCTTTTTCAAGGTGTCTTTACTGCTTCCAGCTTTCTGGCCCTCATCCTTTTTCAAGGCATCTTCCTGGGGCACATCTCTCAACACCACCTTTTTCAAGGTCTTGTTGAGCTCTTTAAATTGAGTAGCTGTCAGGCTACCAATGACACTGCTGGGCATTGTCTTTGCCCTTGCCAGCCTTCTGACATGGTGCAGTACCACTGAAATCCTGTCAGCTCTCAGATTTACAAAGACACTACCATTGTAGTCGCTGGTATTCAGCTCAGGCTCCCTAGTAATGAGATGCAGCAAAGCTGATCTCATTGTCTGGGCATGAATTTCAGCTGAACTTTCCAAGTCTACCAAAGCATCAATGAGGGGCAAAACTTGATGCATGGCTAAGGGGTTGTGGGCAGAATTTCTCGACAACAATTCATACCCTTTCAAATTAAATACCAAGTCCTTGTGTTCAGCAAAGACTTGGTACAGCAACCCCTGGTCTATCAGAGGTTTGCTGAAATGTCTGGCACCCCCTTTGCCAGCCATGCCTTCTTCAAGGCACTCTCCTTTTTCAAGGCAGTCTCCTTTTTCAAGGCACAAGCCTTTTTCAAGGCAGGAGTTACCTATTTTTTCTAAATCTTTTTTCCAACAGCTGAGAGCCAAAACAGCTGGCAGCCACCAAAAAAAAGGATCAAAAGTTTCAACCCCCAAAATCAATATCCCAAATCAAAAAAAAATCAATACAAAAATCAATTGATTCAAAACTAAAAAATCAATTAAATCCAAAAAATCAATTGAATCAAAATCAATTAGAAAAATAGGAAGTTTATTGATTGTAATCAATATCCGATGCTCAGGGTATATTCACCATGTGCCCTTGCATTTCTGTTGAGATCTTGTGAGCGGAAGATGTGGCTGTCATATCAACAGTACAGAGTGATAGAGCCGTTCGCGGTGATTATGTTATCAGTGAGTGTGATACAGGAATGGCAAATTGAATCAATTTGATGTTTGTTTGGCGATTAACTCCTGGAAGTGATGTTCACAGTTTGATCCCCTCGCAAAATCCGGGTATTCACTTTTAGCTTTGTCGTTTTGATTTCTCATTTCAAGCTACCAAAAGTGGCGAGTATAGTGTTATACCAATAGGTGAGATGTTGTGACAAATTGGACATACTTTTCGCTCACATGCACTTTTGTTGTCAAGCCCTTAGAGTGACAGTGTGGGTAGCGATCTCAGTCCGCAGTTCGTCTTAGCCTTAGTGATGGATCTTTACTCTCGTTCGAGATCTCGTCGACGTCATTCACGACAAGCAAGGTCACGATCCCATAGGTCTTCCAGACATCGACAACATCGCTCTCCACAGCAAAGGTTCCGGCATCGTACTCGTAGCCCCAGAAGACATCAGTCCACGGGACCAACACCATTTGAGATTCCTTCACATTGGCGTAGTACTGAATCCTATTTTGACACGAAAGCAGAGTACGGTCTTACCTTCCCAAAACATGTGGAGAGTACCCAATGGACAAGGAAGTTGGGCCTGGCAGGCCGCAAGATTGAAGACATTCGTGCGTATGAGTTGCTCATGGGGTCTAGTTCGAACTGGAGCCTGCGCCTTTTGGCGAATGGGCGATTCATGGCCTTGGAGGCATTTCGTTCTAGGCTTGATGCAGTTCTGTGGTCCTATGTAGCTCGTGAATGCTACAAGCGAGATACCATTGAACTTTCCAAGTTACTAGAACAGTCCAAGTCATCAGAAGAATCAAAGGATTGGGGAGAGAAGATGGAGATCATCAAAGATGTAGGAAACAAGCTCTTGGAAACATTGGAGCACCTGATGCCCAAAAATCCTCACCAAGACCTGCTGGCTGAAGTAGAGAAGCTTAAGCAGGAGAACGAGGCCCTTCGACAACAGCAAGCTGCTCCAGTGGCTGCCCCAGCCAAGTCTCCTTCAGAAAGTGGGATTCGACGATATGCTAGAAACACCGGTGAAACTCCAGATAGGGACTCAACTAAACAAGTGCCATTGTCCCAGTTCTTGCGAGGAAACCGTAACCCAGTCCTATCCACCCAGGCTCCTGAGAATGGCCCCCCGACAAAAGCGAAACAATGGATTAACAAGGTGATCCCCAAGTCTGAACAGGCCAACATTGAAACGTTCATGCAAGAAATTGATGCCGAGATCAAAGCACTTGGTGATGCCGACAAACCAGCACTGGATAGAGTACTGGTTGATTGGGGGTTGACACCAGAGAAAGTGAACAAGATGACCCAAGAAACCATGGTCCGGATGCTTGCAGCTGTTCATCTTTTGAAGACCGACTGACTAGCGCTGCGAATCAATCGCAGTCATTCTCTACCTAATCAGGGTAGAAAAGTTTTGTTTCTTGTGCAGAAGGGCTTGCGGATCATTAAAATGTTGTTGCAATTTGACAATTTGCCATGGGAAATTCAACGTGTATTATTTTGGTTGCGCTCACATTGGATGGTTGCCTTGCTGGGATTCTGTCACTTTACCCATTCCCATCGTCGTTTGGCTGCTATTATACAATCTTTCATTCCTGACTTTCATTTAACGATGGCACACTATGAGCGCACTAATGTCGTCTACATCAAGTTGAGCACACAGCGACGATGGTTTTACATTGGTTCAACAAAGCATGACATGTTCCATAGGGAACAAACACGAAACCGAAAATTTCAGCAGCTTCAACAAGGGCAACTGGCTTATTTTGAGCCTGCTTTGAAAGTATGGTCCAAGTCTGGCACTTATTGGGATTTTGTGGCCATACCTTTGGCATCTGTTGAGGGAGACATTCAAGTTCATGAAACAACATTGCAAAAGCAACTACAACCCTCCTTGAATTGGCCTTGGGTTGTGCCTTTACTGAAAGAGTTTCGAATCCAAAGGCAGTCATATACACTTCCTATGACACGACACTCCACTTTGGTCGGTGCACGGACTCATCGACGTTACAATTCTTTGTTACTGTCGACACCAACTTTAACATGCCGTATCCAACAAACTTTTCCACATTTGACGCAGATTTATGAGTTGTTGTATTCATTGGGTTCTGACACAGTTCAAAAGTTTCATGTTTCCAGAGCTCTCCGTAGTCGTGATTGCAACGCGGGGTTCATTTTTCTACTATGGAGATTGTCGAGATATGTGTCAGAACCATTTCGCACTAGATCACAGTAACAGCTCAAGGTGATTTTCAAATTTTACCGTACCAGCGAGCCACCCACAAATATTCCTTTGAGATTGTCTTTGCCGGATGATGTCTTCAGTCACGCAGTGAAAGAGTGGCTTTTGGGGTTTACTCATTTTCATCGACATCAGTTTCCGCCTTTACACAAACCCCGTGCACCGTTCGTGCACATTAAGGGCCGAACATGGGGACAATCATTGTTTAATTTTCGTCATTGGCTGCGTTGGTGGTATGCGGACCAAAAGATTGAATGCAAATGTGATCAGTTTCCTGCACATATTCAGCGGAAATCGCGTGAGCTGCCCCATATTGTTGCATGGGCCACAGACTGCTTTCCACACGTTCCACAATTTAAGTTGCATATGGCCAGCGAACAACCACCTAGGTGGCAACATCTTTTTTCTCAAGCAACCATCCAATTTGAACAATGGCTTAAACGTTGGCGCCTTCCTGGGGATTTACAGCAGTGTTGGCAGTATTTTTTACGACAACAATGGGATTCTTTCAGTGAACGAGAAACATGGACACAGCCAGTGGGTCAACTTCAACGTTTATTGTCGCCTTTTGTTGTCACCCCTGCAGATCATTTTCCACACAGCCTTTTGGTGATGTGTCCACAGTATTGGCACGCACTAATCTGTCAAACGTTCCTTCAACCAGAAGTTTTCGTGCGTTGTTTGCAGCCTGCTGAAGATATTAGACGTAACATTCGTCTATTTTTGCCTGGTTGGATTCAAGAACAGTATGCGTGGGGGCTGAATTTTCAAGCTGCGCTGTCTACTGCGTATATATATACTACCAAAACCTACGCGAAACTTCAAAAAAGCTAGACCTATTGTGGATTGTAGTCATTCCTGGATTTTGCGACAAGGGACTGCGTTGGCAATTGTGTTGCTTGAAATTTCTAAGGCCGTGTATCCGGAGTTGTTTGAATACAATGAGGTAGCCACTATTTTGGCAGCCATTCACCAGATTTTCTCGCACACGGATCCTGCCGATGAGCTCACTATACTACAACAAGATATAGCCGGCTTTTACAACCAGGTATCTCATGAGCGGATCACCGCCAGTGTTCAATATGTAGTCCAGGTCTTTCAACGTCAACAACAGTGTCCTCATGATCAGGTTTTGCAAGCAGTCATGATGAAACACGACCGTACCTTGCGCGTGTTTAGAGGTCGATGGCGTGCACATACAAAGCGATACCATGGCATTCGTCTTGACCATATTGTGCCTTTGACTCAGTACCTCTTGCAACGCAGTATCTTTCGCATTGGACACTGTACGTTTCGACAAGTACGCGGAGCATCAATGGGGTCACAGTGGGCACCAATTATGTGCGCTCTGGTAGCACTGAACCGAGAACATACTCATTCCATGCTCTTTAGCAACGCACTGTATTCTGGAAAGCTGGCGACTAGTTCCAGGTATGTAGATAATCGAATGTTAGTTGATCGTGCTAGCACCGGCAATACCAAAGCTTTGCGACATTTGTGGCATCTCAAATTCTATACTGAGCCCATCCTCTTGGAGGAGGTCGAAGGATATGATGCTCTTGGTTTCAATGTGAACCCTCTGCAGCGTGCCGTTTCATATCAACTACCATGGGATACGATCATTCGTACTCATACAGGAATTGGTCCATCACGCAGTGTTACCTACCAGAAGTTCCAGGCAATGTTAGCCAATGGAGAGCTGCCTCCCTTCATTCAGAAGGAATGGGAGCGTGTATCCAAGTTGAAATCCGGGAAGCGAGAGCGTCAGACGGCTATCATCAATGCTATCTATGATCGTTCGGCCGCAGGACGATTGATCCTCAACACGGACAAGGCCATCTTCGAAACTATGCGCTCTGACTACCAAGATACGAAGAGCAGGAGGGAAATGAAGACTCTCCCTCTGCTGCTCTTTTGCGGAAAATTCCGCCTGAGTGCAGAAGCAGTGCAGCAAGGTCTCCGAGAGGGACAATTCATGGAAGTGGAGACAGCGAATGGCAAGGAGTATGGATGGAGACAAAGCACCTTCTCCGAGGTCAAGGGCGTCAAAACTGCGACAGGATACAAGATGTCAGAAGAAGGAGACAAGGACACGATGCAGAAGTACATGGAGATGGCCCAATGCTGGAAAAGTGGCATCCAGCGTCCACAGGCCATTGCTAGTGGGTCCAACCGGCTCGCCATTTGCGATGTGGAGTCGCCGTTGTCTCAGGAGGAATGGGGTGTCGCACACAAACAGTTGCAGTCGGCCTTTGCGGCCTTAGATCAGCAGGAGAAGCATGCGATGAAACACATGGCTGTCATCGAGCAGAACGAAGACGAGCCATTGTACCCTCTGTTGAATCTCGTCTGTATTGATGGAAGGCTGTTATTCTTCATTACGTGTGATCATTTTTCAAATTACGTGTGATCACTTCTGCTTCCATGTTTTTCAAGATATCCTGCTAGGAAAGCAGCCATCCAAGAGATTCGACGGGTCAAGGCGGAGATCACTCACGTGCAGTCCTTCAAGGAGTTGCCGTTCGGGATGAAATTGACTTTGAAGACATACAACGATTTTTGCACACCCAGGGACAGATCTGTGAAGCTCAGGAAGATGTGATCGCTGGCATCAAGGGTCAGCTTGATCAGCGCGCAAAGCGTGCAAAAAAGAATTATAGAAAGGACATGAGTCCTTGCACGTCGTTTGCGATGTTGCATTTGTAAAGATTTGGGCAGCAATGCGGATGCAGGCTTGAAAAAAGGTTTTACTTGCGATCTCTGTATTTCATTCCTTGTGTCGTCCTTACTTGAGTTCCACAATAATTTGGAAAGATAACTGACACCGAAGCACCAACTCTCATGCTTGAGATTGCAATCCTTTCCTTGTGTCGTCTTTACTTGTGTTGGATCGTTTTATTTGAGATTGATCATCACGTCCTACCTTGTCTGTGGATAGAGCTCTTATGGCTCATCTAGCTGGCGCTGTCAGCGTTGCAACAAACAATAGATGTGAATCATGCAGAGCAGGATATGAGTGAACTTTCCATCTAAAAAATGTAATGCTTTTGGGAAATATCACAGGATGGCTGCAGATTAATGAGTATAATAGCAAAATGTTCCATGCATTTACCATCTTGCGAGTCGTGAAAGCACTTTGATGGCAAGAGAGTGTCTGAACATGTCAGCATGAACGCGGAGCCTTGTAAGTCTGGAAAGAAAAGAAAAGTAGGTGGAGTTCAGCAACGCTTAGCCTGCGCAAAAGAAGCAGTAACCGAGGAGAGTGCTGTACATGCTGTGCTCATGCTTTTGATTGCCAAAGGCATCATGTCCGGAGTGTTGGCGCATGAAATTGCGCAGGCAGCACAACGAGATGTTCAAGGAGCACGTGATGGCAAAAAAAACCCGATCTGGAGAAACTGGCAAATATTATATTTAACAAGGCAGAAATCTCGTTCGATCTGTGCATGACAGATTACGGAGACAGTCCACTTTGCCTGAGCCTGTGAAGGTAGCAATGCTACCTTAAACAGACGGTTTGCAAGAGGCTCACATTTTACTTCCTCATGAATGGTTTGCAGCTATGTCTGAAGATGATTTTAATTGGGAAAGAACCATTTGTCCCAATGCTGCTCGCTTACCAGATTTTTGGCAAGCTTGGGAGTCACATCCAGGAATGATGCGTCATCCCGTGAAACGTTTCGAAAGTTGGCAGACAAAGTTTATACCCATTTCCCTTCATGGTGACGAAGTCCCTGTGATGGGAGTTGGTAAGATTTGGAGCCGCTCCGTTTTATCCATCACTTGGATGAGCATGCTGGCGAATGGGCTCGGCGCCAAAATGTCCGATATTGTTTTCTACATTTGGGGCATCTTCGAAAAATTTGCACTTCCTTCATCGACAACCACTGTGGGCACTATGCAGACACTCTGGCGTGTGCTCCGCTGGTCTTTCCAATGCATGTATGAAGGCACCTGGCCTGCGAGAGATTGGCGAGGTCTTCCCTATGACAAAGATAGCCTACAAGGCAAAAATGCAGGCAAACCCCTTGCACGCGGTTATCGTGCCGTTCTCTTACAGCTCTGTGGCGACTTAGATTACTTTAGCAAGTGGCTCGATGTTCCAGTCTCGACAAATCGCACAAAGCCTTGTGCTCAGTGTCGCGCTTCTTATCACGGAAATCATTCGTGGCTTGACAATCGAGAAAATTCTGTCATTAAAAAAAGAAAGGGGATTGGATGAGCGGGGTTTAGTTAAGAAAGGTTTCTTATCAGTTTCATATGTTGGGAGCAAAAAGATATATAACTTTTAGAGCTTTATTTGTCTTAAATATTTACTAAGCTTGTTGCAACAATGTCAAAGATTGAATTTAATAGTGTGAACACTCGTGACTCCTTATTGACAGTTAGCATCTCACCCGTAGCAGCTTGGCTTTCCAGGCCATCAAACAACCTGAAATCAATGAAATAAAGGCCCACAAGTCGGGCCAAAAAAACATGACAACGCATTTACTGACTGCTGTTCTCTTGTCTCAAACCCCTCAGGCGCCATTGTCGTGTTATGAAGCCGCTTTTTTTCCAAGTGGACATGAGGAAAGTCTGACTGACTGGGTCCAACCTCAGAAACCAAGTGGTAAAGCTGACAATGAGCCAAGGTGCCCAACTTGATGAAAGTGCAGAACAAACTGAAATCAAGCAATGTGCTGAGAAATTCGAATTGAGCCGCCTGACATGCGCATTAAGCTACCAAGACTTACATGTCATGATCATGACATGACAACGAACATGAACGCTTCTTTTTCCCCTTGCTCACTTTCCAACATCACAACATGTGCGGTTCTGCGTGATCCATTGTTTAGGAAATTCCGCTGTGGCCAAGCCTTGCAGCCGCCTCTTCTTGAGTGGCCCCTTCTCCGGCCAGCAGCCACTGTGATCATGAACTCTGATGTCCCAAGTTGGCTCATCTCTGCCTCCCGGACACGGGTCCAGCTTGTATTGACCACAAAGATCCCGGCAATGGTTGCAGTAGACATCTTTCCATCCAATGATCTCATCTCGTCTGCCAGCAATGACTCGAGGTTCACGAGGTTCTGGACGGGCAGCAGGAGCAGCAGGAGCTCCATCTTCAACTGCCCCATCCTCAACACCATCTGCAGGGGCCTCCATCGGACAAACTGGGGCAGCGGGAACTCCAGGACGACGTTGCGCAAGTTCATACAATGTCATTTCATCATCAAAATCAGCATGAGCCTGATCAGCAGGTGCCTCTGGTGGATCAACAACCCCAGCATGGGACGGCGCAGGTCCATCATCATCTGGCCTATCAAGTCCATGCTCCAGCAGGTCGGGAGCAATTGAAGGGGAATATTCATCTGCGTCATCTTTCTTGTTTTGCAGGGGTGCAGGCGAAGGCAAACCATCCGCAGGTTCTGCAAGCAAAGCCAAAGAATCCTCAGGTTCTTTGTCATCTGGTTCTGCAGCATCATCCATATGTACCTTCGGGAGTCCAGGAAAATATGTAATGCCGTCTAGGGATGAAAATAGATTTCATATATTATTACCCTTGGCTTGGGTGCATAATGACAGACAATATACCGTAGTTTGAAAATTCATTGCAAAAAAGATTGGTCAACTGCCAAAACACATTCACATCGTCGCCGTCCAACACAGCATTCTCTGCATTGACACACCTTCGCTTGCGCGCCCTGCCAGTATTGAATCTGACACCCGAAGAACCAATTCGACCACGGCCCCGCCCACGGCCACGGCCTTTGGGTTGGGCAGCTTTCGGTTTGGCTTTGGATTTCGCTTTTGCTTTGGTTTTTGCACTTTTGCCACTTTTGCCCTTGTTCTTCTCCTGACGATCCACCAAAGTCCAGCCAGAAGATGAAGTTATGTTCTTTGCAATGGCTCCCTGCACTTCTTTGAAATCTTTTCTTTCATCTAAAGACAACTCTGAGAGGACCACCTCATCCAGCACAGTTCCCAGTTCTGTGCGAGATCTGTCTGCCGATTCTGCAGACGCTGCCTGCTTTGGTTTCCGCATTGCTTTTTTAATTGCTTCACACCAATCCACATCACCATCGCAAATCATATCCAGCAAGCTATCAATGAGGTCCATGGTCGGCATTTTCATGAGGACCTTGGCGGAAGTGCACAGAACACCCAGGTGCTCTCCCAGATTGGCCAAGTCTGTTTTCGTTGGCAAGTTGTGCCTCTTGATTTCACCAAAAAAATGGCGAAGCAAACTTTCAGACTCTTGAAAGCGCATCAAAACCAATTCCCCACCAAACGCCACATGATCAAAGGTCCAGACCTTCCAATCTGAAGGCTCAATAATGTGAGCCCAATGCACGACACCCGAGGGGTCCAATGCCCACCACTCGTCTGTGCCCTCGAAGCACGGCGCAATATGGCGCAATTGGCCATAGCAGGAAACCCCAATCAAATTGACCCAAACAAAGCCCACATAAGCTTGGCAGGTTTTGCTGAGAATCTTCGAAGGAAAGAAAAGTGAGCTCTGTTGCAAACTTCGAGAAAAGGCCATGCTGCACACGAACTCCACACGATCTTTGAGTTTGCATTGTCTGTAAAACTTCAGAAAAGCAAAGGCTCCAGCTCCACGAAGAAGCACCTCCTCCGAAAGGGACCCCCAATTCTTGCGCCCCATGATTGTGGACCATCGCTCCGGCAATTGATGGACCGAAGCAAAATAACGCCTCTTCCTTTTGCGACCAGGTGTCCGCTTGAACATCTGCACAAAACAGTTTCTGTCAACAGCTGCGGGATGGCGAATGTTTCTTTCGGACAAAACCTTTGACTGCGTCACCAATTCTTGAATTTGATGCACAGTCTGTCGCTTGTTCTTCTGGCTGTTCCTTTGGATACGGACATGTCCATGCAGGTCTTCAACTATTTTGCTGTCCGGTAAAGTTCGTAGCATGCCCTCTAACACGTGTGTGCCTGCTGGGCTCCCTGCATCAAAGTTGTCACTTTCAAAGGGCATGTACATGAGTCTCACAGGCGGTGACAGCCTTGAGGTCAGCCAAGATCTGCAAAGAAACCGAACCGTTGGCGGCAGCTTGTTCAAGTTGCAAGATCGAATCGAAATCTTCCTGCATAACTTCCATCGTGTCCTGCCCAGAAGAAGGATGTGGCTATGAGAAAGACGGTTCGACTAGTCGACCCGCTTCCACTTAAAATTTGCCTGCATGAAAACAATATACCCATTACTGGCAATGGCAATGGCACCTTGAAATCCATGGAGCGCCCTGGATTCTGTTGACTGTAACTAATAATAATATCCACATCTTTTCCTGGGATGCATAGTATAGCACTTAGCCGCCTAGACTAGGAAAGGGTTTCTTAAATCCTAATAATAAATAAACATCAAACATCAAACACCACAACACATTATGACATTCCGACGCCCAACATCATTCTTTTGGAAGGACATAGTGTGGCTTGGCAATTCATGACATGATCATGAGTTCCATCATCATTCATATTCATACCCATTGAATCTTGACCTACCGGGTAAAAGCCAACAGAGACCCAAAATCCAAACGGCGATACATTTGCATTGAATTATTTCAAAGGTTCAAGACCAAAAAAGGACCTCAG